AGGCTCTGGTGTGGGTGGGTGTGTAAAGAAAACCATATATCTTAAAGACACTACAGTCTGCGCTGTGCCTCATTTCAAAGGAAACATGAACCCTGGTTAAGTGCCAAGACCCCTGGAATTTTGCACCACTTGGCAAAGACTGAGGTGGCCTGTAGCGTCTTTTCTCAAGAGATGTGGTGCAGAACTTTTCCCTGGCCTCTTCCCTTTCTGCCTGCTGATTGCTGAAGAAGGCAAGCAATTTCTCCAGAACACTGATATCGATTGTTGGATGCACTTTTGTAGAGCCGCCAACTTGAAACCTTGGAAAGAAAGAAATCATGGGCATGGGGCGAAGGAGATCTGTTTTTCTTCAAGCACTAGTGCCAAGTGAATGATGTTACCTGAAAGGTCGCCTGCCCCTGTATAGACCTGAAAGATCGCTTGTCTTAGATCATTTGGGGAAATTCTACCACACCCTACTGCCGAGCTTTCCAAACTTTTCACATTGGGGACACACTTTTTAGACATGCATCACTTCGCGACACAGTAATTCAGTTTTACTGTCAAGCCGGAGGTTAAACTACCGTAACTCCTTGTAGGAGATATGAACACATATTGCGTGACATACCTCCACACTGTAGCCAGCACACTAACATGTCGCAACACACAGTTTGGAAAGCTCTGCCCTGCAAAATACCATAGGTGCTGACCTGAAAACAGGCATTTTCTGCTACTGCGCCTGCACTATGGAATGCCCTTCCATCTGTCATACGTGAAGCAGCAGCCACCAGTTGCTTCAGACATCATGTAAAGACATACATTTTTGAGCAGACTTTCCCTGGCACATAGAACTGGACTGTGGTGGTGCTGTTTTTCTCCATCTGTATTTCATGTATATTTGTTTCTATATGCATTTATGCAGCTGTTTTGTGTAGCATTTTTGTTTTAATAATACTGATTGTTGTTTTCATGTGGCGCTATGCTTAAAGATAAATATTAAGCAGCTTATAAACACTTTTCAATAAATAAATGAATAAGCAAAGGTTATGTGTTTCTGAAACCATACATTTTCTGAAGAGCTAATATTGGCTGACAGTTAGTAATGGCTGTAAATATCCCCGCCCCCCTTTTTTTTCTTATGAAAGACAAATAAAGACTCCTGAAGGCCTTTCAAATCTACTGCTATTAACAAAAGATGCAAACTCCAGAAACGAAGCAGAATTAGCAGCTTGGCATGAGGAAATGGGTGGGTAGTTAGGTGGAGGAACGAATCTAAAATGGCTGCCACCGAAGACTCACACAAATGCAGATAGCCAAGACAGCCCAAGATACTGTGCTGCCTATGACAAAATAAAATACAACTAGTGGTGCCCCTGGTGATAAAATAATTATGATAATAAATTAATGATATATTAATGATATATTAATGATATATTTTTGACCTTTCATAATGCCTCCAAAGAAATCTACCGCCTGAAGCATGTGTGTTGAAATTTACCATATTTTTTGCACCATAACACTCACTTTTTTCCTCCTAGAAAGTAAGGGGAAATGTCTGTGCGTGTTATGGAGGGAATGCCTACAGGTGGCATGCCTACGGATTTTCCTCCTCTAAAAACTTGTTGTTGTTGTTGTTTAGTCGTTTAGTCGTGTCCTACTCTTCGTGACCCCATGGACCAGAGCACGCCAGGCACTCCTGTCTTCCACTACCTCCCGCAGTTTGGTCAAACTCATGCTGGTAACCTCAAAAACACTACCCAACCATCTCGTCCTCTGTCGCCCCCTTCTCCTTGTGCCCTCCACCTTTCCCAACATCAGTGTCTTCTCCAGGGAGTCTTCTCGTCTCATGAGGTGGCCAAAGTACTGGAGCCTCAGCTTCACGATCTGTCCTTCCAGTGAGCACTCAGGGCTGATTTCCTTAAGAATGGATGCGTTTGATCTTCTTGCAGTCCATGGGACTCTCAAGAGTCTCCTCCAGCACCTCTAAAAACTACGTGCGTGTTTTGGTCGGGTGCGTGTTATAGAGCGAAAAATACGGTATTTTGGCTGGGAGTGGGGGATGGGGTGACTCAAGCAGGCAATACAAAAGCGCTTGCTATTTGCTATTTGTTTTTTATTTTAGGAATTGTGTTGAGGCAAGCATCCAAGGTAACCTAAAAGGGATTTAAAAAGCAATAAAACCAATTTAAAATATGAAACTGGCAACAACACCCAGCAACATTAACTATTTACAACATTTTAAACACACACACACACACACACACACACACACACACACAAATACATTAAAAGGCCATCAGCAGTATAAAGTATTAAAAGCATTTGAAAACAGGAAAGTATGAAACTGGCACCTCAAGGAAACAGGGAAGGTCTGATGAGCTTGCAGGAGAAAAGAAGTTGCAGAAAAGCAGGAAGACAGAGATGGAGAAAATGAGGAAGAGTAGCAAAAATAAGAAGCAAATCCCATATTGAAGATTGGGGTTAAAGGTGGGGCCTGGGTGCAGAATAATCCTGCTTTAGATGTAGAGATTCTGGATTTTTTTAAAGTAAAAAAATAATAATAGATGTAGATATTCTTGTCTGATCTACAGTGGCGTTTGAGTGGAGGAGAAAAATTATTGCCTCATTAGGGTTGCTAACCAATCAAGGAGAGCTCGAAAAATAAATTAGGCAGTGGATTTTTGGGGGGAGGCCTAGGCAGGAGACCTTCAATGTGGCCCCATTCCCTCAGTTAGCCTACCCTCCTCACTGCCATTGTTGCTGGCTACTCTTGTGCCTCACAATGGTTTGCAAGACAGAGCCAACGAACAAGGAGGTAGGATTCCACCTTCCACCCAAAACGACAACAGTTGCATTTTCTTGTAAGTAAAGAAGACGAGTGATACAAACTTGTCGTGAGGGAAAGAACAGAAAATAGCCAAGGCAAAGGGGTAGCCACAATAAGCCCAGTTCAGATTCAAGGCCAAGGGGCAGTAACAGGGTTTCAAGACTTCAAAGGAGCTGTGAAATTGTCCCAACAAGTTTGCCTGCCTCCCCACAAGCTTTTAAGCGGAGGTGAAAAGCGCCCAGCTACTTGTGAGAATCCCTGTGCCAGTGGGAATTCCTGGCCTTATGGAAGGAATTATTAATATTTATCAGTCACCTTCCCCACATGTCTCAAGTTGATGTACAAAACACAATAAAACAGTCAAGAGCAACGCAGAAATTGATGGTAGTTATACCGTATTTTTCCCTCTATAACACGCAGATTTTTTCTCATAAAAAGGAAGGGGAAATGTCTGTGCGTGTTATAGAGCGAATGTGTGGTCCCTGGAGCCAAAAAATCAGACAAAAATCAAATCGCGAGTCACGGAGAAGGGAAACCTGAAAAGAGGAAGTGGCTGCTTTCCTGCATTGTGCCTCAGGGTCTTACTGCCACCATCCTCTGTTTCGTTGCTGTGTTTGCTCAAACGGAACAAAGAGCAGGGAAAGCCCCTCCCCTCCAGGCAAGCAGAGGGGAAAGCAGAGTCGTTCCTTCTAATTCCTCTCTGTGCTCCGGTGCTGCGTCTAGGGACTAGCAGGCAACATGCAGGTGGGGGAGAGAGAGGGGGAGAGAGAGAGAGAGAGAGCTGGCTGGTTTGGGTGCTTGGGTGGGGGGAAACTTTTGCCTTTCTTTCCTCCCTCCCGTTAAATCCCTCTCCTGCATTCTTAGCCAGCTGCTTCTCTGCACACCCCTCTCATGCTCCTTTTCCCTTCTTTGTTTTTCCTTCCCTCCCCACTTAAAATGTGGTTACAAAGCATAGATCCACATGGATCCTCAGGATCTTTGCATTGGGTCACCCCAAATTCACCATCAGATCACATAGCATGTCCATGGCTATAGCCTGCCCCCCAAAAATCACGCACCCACTGTTGCCTGGGGCTGCAATGGTGCAAAAACGTGGTTAAAAAGCATGGATCCACATGGATCCTCAGGATCTTTGCATTGGGTCACCCCAAATTCACCATCAGATCACATGTCTGTGGCCACAGCATGAAGCACAAAAATGATACATCCACTGTTTCATTCAGAATGTTTTTTCCCTTCTTTTCCTCCTCTAAAAACGATGTGCGTGTTATGGTCAGGTGCGTGTTATAGAGCGAAAAATACGGTAATATGTTAACATTAAGATGGACATATTGATGACTGCCTTTTTAATGTGAACGGATGGTTTTTTTCTGCTTTTCTCTCACCCCTATTTTTATATTTTCCCTTGGTTTTGGTTTTCTTTTTGTTTTGGCAAACTTTGTTATTATATATATATAAACAAATACTAACAGCACTTGTAACTCAGACCTTGCACTTGGCTTCGCTTATTTCCTCCTCCCTTCCAACCTACTGTATTTGCCTTTCGCGTGGCGTCTTTTAAGATTGTAAGCTTCCCGGCAGATCCGTGGGCTGCTCTGAAAACATTTTTGGGCTGATGGGAGGGATAAAAAACAAAAAAACCACGACCAAATGCAACCTGCTCCTATAATCCGACGGGCCTGTTGAGCGACAAATCCCCTTGCTAGAAAGCTGCCGGTGCCAAGAGGTCGCAAAAATAAAATAAAAATAAAAATAAAAAAATCCACAGAAAGGAATAACAACAACACGGACCTCCTCTACAGGATAATACAAGATGTGAAACATTTAGGCATTGTTAAGTGATGGCTAAATGCCCCTTCGCGCCACCGGCCGAGCAGGGAGGAAGCACATGTGTTCCCTAAGGGATCTTGTGGACCGATCCCTTCGGACCCTCTTGGCTTCGGGGTCCCTCTCTCCCTTTCGCCGCCGTCCTCCCCGCCCCCCGGGCGAGCGCCTGTCTCTCCCCGGGGAATGGCATCCACACGGCGCACATTCCTGAGCCGGCGGAGGGGCTGCTGGGACTTGTTTTGGCTCAGAGGGCGAATTCCTCCATTCAAACGCCAGTGTGCAAATCTGCCCTTGCCTGCCTATAGCCCGGCCCCCTTTCCGGCCCGGGACCAGGCTGGTGACTGGTGACTGCTCCCGCCAGGTGTGCGTGCGTGTGTGTGCAAGGGATGAGTAGGCGAGAGTATGCAGGGGCGAGAGGCGGACCGGGTGCGGGGCTAAGACGGAAGAAGGCGCGGAGGGAGGCAAAGGGCGCGCGCGGAGCGGGGAAAGTGGACCAACTCCCCCGGCTGCTCCTTCCGGATCGGGAGTTTGTTCCTGGGGATGCCCGATTCCTTGTGGAATTACGGTAATGAGCCGCTCAGCTCAAGGTGATAGTCCTCATGGTGCACAGAGGAAGCCGGTGAATGAGTGTGCGGGGCCAGGCCTGCAGGTACACTTTGTGTGTGATACCCAGGAATGTTTCCTGAGACCCTTATTGTGAGTGTGTGTGGCTGATGGTCCCAAGCCCTACTGCAAAGTATCCTACGTGTAAGTATGTAAATCGGAAATATTCGCGTTTCTTTCCTTCCTTTTCAACCCTGCCTCTTGTTTCCCTCCGTTGCCCCCCCCCCGCCTGTTTCTAGATTGTAAACCCCTGGGAACAGAGAAATGGCTTTTGTATTTATTTTTTGCTAACACCCTTGCATAGAGATAGTGTTATTTAAGTAATTGTGCGTGCAGTTATAGATCTACAGTGATGTGAGTGGTATTTAATTTCTGCAGTGAGGCCCAAGATTGCTTGGAATGGCACTCCCCTTGCCCTGAGAGCTTGAACACTCCACCTTCCTCAATATCCATGCTAGTAGTATGTGCGTGGGAAGCCACCTGTAATTGATTTTTGTGAAGGAGGAGCATGTCTGCATATGGTCAGATGTATGCTCATTTTAAATTCTCCCAGTGCTGGATCTAGGCTGCGCACACGTTGCCAGCTTAAAATGCAGCTAGGTTGTTCTTTTTTCCTCAGTTTGGATCAAAGCCAGTTTGGAATGAAAGGCATCAAAATGCCGTATGTCATAAGAAATGACAGGATACAGACAGAATAGATATGGATTGTGGCTAATGTTGTGCGTATACTGCTTTTCAAAACCAGCCATGGGAGTGCACTGGATGCAAAATAAGAGGTGTGTGTGTGTGTGCAGAGCCCTAAATTGTGCAGCAAGTCCTATAGACCCCTGGCTTAAATGAAGATCTCTTGAATCCTGTAAACTGCTTTTGCCACCTCAGATCCCTCCAATAGCCCACGCTGAGCTGCATCTGGCCATACTGAATATTTGAGCAGTGGCATTACTTAAGGAGGTGGTAAAAATTGAAAATCACTGTGCCACTTTCAAAACAGTTTTTTCCTCCCTTTGATCGACTCAGAGATTTGTGGTGGGGCAGCAGCGATTCTACTGTGTGTACTTTGGACACACAGGAATCCCAGGGAGAGAGATCCGTGAGGACAGAGCAAGAGAAAAAGGGAGCGGGGGGGGGGGGAGCCTGCATGTGTGGAGATGAAAAGAACCATTCTTCATGTCATTAAGAATTAGTTAATGAAACAGAAGGGAAGGAGCTTGCTCTAGAAAATAACACAGGCTTTTGTTGTTCTGTTGCCAGCTGATAATCCACCCTTCCCGGAAAGTGAGATGGCCCACAGATGCATATCATAACAAAAAGGGAGAAATCAGAAGCGGTCGCCAAAGTTGAAGTTTTTATCCTGGGCTGGTGCTACCTGTGATTCTTCAGCATGACAGGTAAGCCAGTAGGGTCAGTGGAGGTGCAATGGGCTGCAGAGCTGATTGGCTTATTTTGAGATTGAAGTTGTTCTATATGGAAGTTGTGTATGTGTGGAGACATCCTTCCTCTCCCTTCCTCTCTTAAATATATAACCCCATAAGTCACTTGGGATTTATGGCAGAGAAGCCACTGTAGGAAATACCTGCCCTGGGGGGGGGGGGGAAGAGGCAAGACCTGCGACTGATGACTCAGCAGGTCATTTGTGTGTCTGAGATTGATGACTCATCCTTGGAATGGCCCTGCCCTGCTTAATCAGCCGGGATGGGGAGAAACAGAGCTACACTTATTCGCATTTAGTTCAAGGAGGGATGGGATTCCCCCCTTTTACTGTCACAGGCAAACTGTAGTTTGTCAGCTTTCTTTAGCTTCAAAGGGAAGCTTTGGTGCTCAATAGCTGCCAGCCTATTGTGCAGCTATTAATACCACAGAATGTGTGTCTAGGATCAGTCAGTGCCATCTCTTTAGCTTATCTTTATCAACCGCCAATGGGCTTATTGAGATGTTAGAACAAAGGAGTGAATGCTGACCTTAATGAATGGATGTATAAAGTTGTATTACTCAGAACATTGTTCCATAATAAGACCCTCCTGAATCAGACCAAGAACCTTTCGGGTCCAGCATCCTATTTTCCACAGCACCTCATCTGGCGCTTAAAAGATTGCAATGTTGACAATACAGTACCTTGAATTCTTCATGGTGAAATACTCAATGCTTCAGCCTTGTGTTCGTGTGAATGCGGCCTAGAATTCTCCCCACCAGTTGCTGTTCACCCCGCCCCCCCAAACCCATTATCCCTGTTTGTCTATATACAGTCATACCTCATGTTATGTTTGCTTCATGTTACGTTTTTTCAGGTTGCGTCCCACGGTGACCTGGAAGTACCGGAAAGGGTTACTTCTGTGTTTTGCTGCTTGTGCATGCGCAGAAGTGCTAAATCGCGCTTTACGCGTGTGCACAAGCGCCAAATCGCGCTGTGCACCTGCGCAGATACGGTGCTTCAGGTTGCGGGCTTTTTATGTTGTGATTGGGCCTCCGGAATGGATCCCGTTCGCAACCAGAGGTACCACTGTATTCAGTAATATTGTATGCGGGGCCAGCCCTACCGTTAGGCAGAGAGAGGAGCATAGGAAGTTGCCTTTATATTGAGTTGAGTCACCTGGCTCAGTGTTGTTTACACACTGACTACATGCTGCTGTCTGGGATTTCAGACAGCGAACATTCCCAGCACAAACTGGAGACACCAGAGATTGAACCTGAGGCTTTCTGCATGCAAAGCAGATGCTGTACAAAAAAAACTATATAGTCCATCCTCTCTGAGCTCTGGCTTTCCTGCTGCCTTAGTCAGCGAAACTTGAGGTGCGTCCCCAGTCAGCAGTGGAAACCACCCAGTCTGCTTCTCCTGTGGCCAGCACTGTATGTTTCACATGCTTTGCTTGCCACCCCTAAGCTATCCTGCTGGCCTCTGGTGCTACAGAAGATGCTGTCCCATCACCAGTGTTGAAGTATGATTCAGATGCCTGTCCAATTGGCTCTGATCATGGGATATAAAAGGGGACCCCGTCTTGTGCTTCACCTCAGGAAACAAAATGTCATGGACTGGCCCTCATTGTAAGAAGATTGCAGACCTAGCCGTAATGCTGAATATAAATTCCTTTCACAATCATTTCCTCTTTCCTGGGAACCATAATAAAAATAGAAATAAATTACTTGCACTCCACCCATCTGACTGGGTTGCCCCAGCCCCTCTTCATGGCTTCCAACATAATATAAAAACACAGTGAGATATCAAAATTTTAAAACTTCCCAATACATTCCCGCCTTCAGGTGTCTTCGGAAAGTCGTTTGTTTGTTCATTTCTTTGACTTCTGATGGGAGAGTGATCCACAGGGCGGGTGCCACTACCAAGAAGGCCCTCTGCCTGGTTCCCTGTAACTTTACTTCTTGCAACAAGAGAAATGCCAGAAGGCTCTTGGAGCTGGATCTCAGTCTCCGAGCTGAACTCTGGGGGTGGAGACACTCTTAGGAATTGCAGAGTACTAGTAGTGGCAGCAAAGACATTTCTTAACAAAATTCTCAGTAGCTCAATCCCTTGATCCTCGGAAGAAACTGTGACAATGAAAAGTGCTATAAAACCAATATTAAGTTTGCAGACAGGTCAGCTAGGCCTTTAAGTCAAACAATAAGTTGTGTAAAAGTTCCCTTTTAAGTTACTTAAGGAATTCAGCTCTGTTCATTACTTGGAGCCTACTGGGTACCATATGTCCATTTTATTTATTTATAAAATATTCATATACAGTGGTACCTTGGTTTACGAACTTAATCTGTTCTGGAAGTCCATTCTTAAACCGAAACCATTCTTAAACCAAGGTGCGCTTTACCTAATGAGGCCTCCCGCCACCGGTGCCCTTCCACTGTTCGGATTCCATTCTTAGACCAAGGTAAAGTTTGCAAACCAGGACACTACTTCCAGTTTTGCGACGTTTGTAAACTGAATCGTTCGTAAACAGGGCTGTTTTTAAGCCGAGGTACCACTGTACCTCTATAGCATAAAAATATCAAAGACCTTTACAGCAATATCAATATATATTAAAGAACCACATTAAAAATTGTAATTGGAGATCATCAGTTTCCAGTTATGGGAAGGTGCTTTCCTGATCATCTGCATAAGCCTGGTGGTATCAAAAAGTTTTCAGGAGGCATTTAAAGATTGAAACAGAAGGCTCCTGCTGGATCTCTATGGGCAGAGCATTCCTCAGGATTGGACTGATAACACTAAAGGCTTGGTTTCTTGTTCCTGCAGACAACACTGGTGTTTGCTGAAAGAGGTTTCCGTGGGAAAGCAAACATTTGACTCTGGGGCTCTGCATTACGTATTTGTTCTAATCTTCAATTTCTTAGAAAAGGCAGGGGAAATGGAGCTCCAGGGAGCTGCAGGTCAGGTTCAGGCCTGCTGTTATGAGCAATGTTGATACTGGGCTGCTTTGGAGGCCCTGAGGTTGGGGATTTGCTCCTGTTTGATGGCGTGATGGCAGTTTTGTACCCTGGAGAGTGCTGACTTTGCCCTATGTAAAGATTGCCATTTTTGAGCTTTGGAGGGGGGGAGCGGAGGCAACATTTCCTGCTTTATGGGAAGGTGCTTTGTGTGTGTGTCTGTATTACCAAACAGTTGGGGATGTCTACTTGTCGTCGAGCGATCAGATTTATCAACTTGGTTCCTTTCGGGGGGGGGGCCTTTAAATGCTCTCACATTCCTGCTGGTTTGGCTTGCCAGTTGATGGCAACAGTGCTCTGGTTTGCCTTAAGGTGGGCAGTGCCAGAGAAGGCGAGGCTCCTGCTTCTTCTGCACAAGGTCCACTTTTGTGAATGCCAGCTGCTTGGAGTCACACCTGGGGAGGAGAGTGTTCATGCAATCAGGTCTGACATCCCATAAGCATCAGGGTGTGGCCTCTGTGAGAGCAGGATGCTGGACCAGGTGGGCCATTGGCCCTGATCCAGCAGGGCTCTCCTTATGGTCTCAGCATGTTTTTATCTGTTACGTAAAATTGAGACACCTGCTTAAAAAAAATTTCCATAAGGGTGCAGAGGAGGAAGAGCAGGGTGTCCTTTTAGTAATTAAATGTCAATGCATGGCAAAAAAGGGGAAAATATGAAATGCATAATAATAATAATAATAATAATAATAATAATAATTTATTATTTATACCCCGCCCATCTGGCTGGGCCTCCCCAGCCACTCTGGGCGGCTTCCATAAAAACCAAAATACAATAAAATATCACATGTTAAAAACTTCCCTGAACAGGGCTGCCTTAAGATGTCTCTTGAATGTCAGGTAGTTATTTATCACTTTGACATCTGCTGGAAGGGCGTTCCACAGGGTGGGGCGCCACTACCGAGAAGGCCCTCTGCCTGGTTCCCTGTAGCTTTGCTTCTCGCAATGAGGGAACCGCCAGAAGGCCCTCGGCGCTGGACCTCAGCGTCCGGGCAGAATGATGGGGGTGGAGACGCTCCTTCAGGTATACTGGACCGAGGCCGTTTAGGGCTTTAAAGGTCAGCACCAACACTTTGAATTGTGCTCGGAAACGTACTGGGAGCCAATGCAAGTCTTTCAAGACCGGTGTTATATGGTCTCGGCGGCCGCTCCCAGTCACCAGTCTAGCTGCCGCATTCTGGATTAGTTGTAGTTTTCCCGAGTCACCTTCAAAGGTAGCCCCACGTAGAGTGCATTGCAGTAGTCCAAGCGGGAGATAACCAGAGCATGTACCACTCTGGCGAGACAGTCCGCAGGCAGATAGGGTCTCAGCCTACGTACCAGATGGAGCTGGTAAACAGCTGCCCTGGACACGGATTTGACCTGTGCCTCCATGGACAGCTGTGAGTCCAAAATGACTCCCAGGCTGCGCACCTGGTCCTTCAGGGGCACAGTTACCCCATTCAGGACCAGGAATCCTCCACACCTGCCCGCCTCCTGTCCCCCAAAAACAGTACTTCTGTCTTGTCAGGATTCAACCTCAATCTGTTAGCCGCCATCCATCCTCCAACCGCCTCCAGACACTCACACAGGACCTTCACCGCCTTCACTGGTTCTGATTTAAAAGAGAGGTAGAGCTGGGTATCATCCGCATACTGATGAACACCCAGCCCAAACCTCCTGATGATCTCTCCCAGCGGCTGCATGTAAATGTTGAAAAGCATGGGGGAGAGGACAGAACCCTGAGGCACCCCACAAGTGAGAGCCCAGGGGTCTGAACACTCATCCCCCACCACCACTTTCTGAACACGGCCCAGGAGGAAGGAGCGGAACCACTGTATAACAGTACCCCCAGCTCCCAGCCCCTCAAGACGGTCCAGAAGGATGCTATGGTCGATGTATCAAACGCCGCTGAGAGATCCAGCAGAACTAGGAAACAGCTCTCACCTTTTGTCCCTAGCCCGCCGGAGATCATCAACCAGGCCCCGCCCCCGACAACCAGACCAGATGGGAGTTTTTGGCTCTATGGCACCAGGTTGGAGATGGTTGCCTTCTTTGTGGGCTTTGAGAAGGGACTTGAAAGATGCTAAAGAGGAGACATTGTAAAGTCCTTTTGGCAGGGAGATTATCTCTGTTGCTTCTGGGCAACTTCCAGACCATCAATAGTGTGTAGGAGGAAATCAGTCAGATGCTGGAAATTTAGGTTTTTGTAATTAAAGTGGTGCAACAAATCTACTTAAAAACAAATAAAAAACCCAGATGTCTTGCAATTAGGAAACTGATGAGAAAAAACACTAAGAAGTGCGAGTTAAATGATTCCAAGGAAGTCAGAATGAAATACTCGCTGTGGTATAACCACCCCACAAACAAATTGGACCTCATGCTCAATAAACAGCAAGCAAGTTGGGATGAATGCTGAATAAACTGGTTTGTCTGGAGGAGCATCTGGTCACTACAGCAGCAGCAGCAACAGCTTTGTTGCTTCTTCCTTTGGTTTTGGTTTTGCAGTCAAATGTTGCTTGGAGGCTGTCACTATTTTCAGGTGAGATTCAGTCCACATACCAGCAAATTCAGGTTGTGTAGTTGCGGTTCCCCAAAAGGTCAGACTCCCCCCCCCCCCCAGTAAGGAAGGTGATGAGTGAATGCTCTGGAAAACATGGAATATTATTCGCTTTGATGCAGCAACATTTAACCTCTGTGCTAGCAAGTAACAATGAATGCTTGGTAAATTGGCTGCCTGGAAGAACCCCAAGAACTGGTGTCATGTCCAATGCCAATTCCTTCATTATCCATGCCCATACTTTTTCTATATTGCATACATAAGAGCACATCACTGCTCTCCCTGTAAATGAAAGGAGAACAACAAACAGACATGTGCTTCCATGTTGTCCTAAGGCTGGCATTCTCCATTCACCCAGGAGCGTGCTCTGAAAGGGTGGGAAATAGCCATCCTGATTGTGAGTACGAAAGACTGGCTGAAAGCTCATCAAGGGGAAACGGGTTCATTTTTTTTAAAAAAAATTTTATTAAGCAATTTCAACATAACAAATTATCAAACCATATAATCACACACATTATTTCCCCCCTGTTTTCCACCTCCCTTCCATCCCTCCTGCCCCCCACCAGGGACTTCCCTCAGCTCCTCTCTCTGATTTCTCTGCATGTTATGAAATTATACATATCCTTGTGTTGTCTATCTATCATGTTATCAACCAATAAATTTGTGTATGTTTATTCAAAACATGCCAAGGAGTCCAATTCATTCTGTTGTCTTTTTAGATAATTTGTAAAAAGTTCCCATTCTTCCTTAAAGTCACAGTTGTCCTTGTCCTGCAGTTTATATGTCAATTTAGCCAGTTCTGCATAGCTCATCAATTTTTCTTGCCACTGTTCTTTCATTGGGATTTCCTCATTCTTCCATCCTTGTGCTATCAAGACTTTTGCCGCTGTTGTAGCATACATAAATAGATTCTTTGTTTTTCTTGGCAGGTCTTGTCCTACAATCCCTAACAAAAATGCTTTTTTTTTTTACAAATGTCATTTTAAACATTTTTTTCAATTCATTGTATATCTATTCCCAATTTTTTAAAACTTCTCTACATTCCCTCCACATATGGTAAAAAGTCCCCTCTTTTTCTTTACATTTCCAACATATGTTTGACGAAACGAGTTCAAATTTAATGACCCTGTCTGTGCACCCCTAGGGCCTAAGGAGATAGTAAACGAAAGCCTCTCGGAGGCAGGAGAGGAAGAAGATGCATTGTGGGAAAAGATTGAGAGTGTCCGGCACAAGCTGACCCGCTCTCTGAACCCAGCCAAACTGACTCCATACCTCCGCCAGTGCCGTGTGATTGATGAACAGGATGAAGAGATGGTGCTGAGTCCCCATCAGTTTCCATGCAAGAGCAATCGGACCGGTGAGAGAAGTTAAGAACTCACATGGAAGGTACAGCGCTGGGGGGTGGGGGCTTGCTTTGTATAAAGCAGTCCTGGCCCAAAGCCCTAATCTAGGAATGGATCCCAGACACATGTCTCTACGGTCCTGGCTTATTGCTTTTATTTATCATGGCTTCACATTGCATTTTAATATGAAAAGAGCTTCTCTCTCTCCCTTTCCTTCTTCCCCTCACTCTGCCTTACCCACGCAACAATCACTATGATTTATGCTCTTGTTGTTCCCATTTTACAAAATGGGGCTTAAGATTCACATAGGGAGACAGAGACTGAAATGAAATTGGGCTCAAGCCTTCTGGATCCAGCAGCTTCTGCATGATTTTGGGACAGCGGGAGAAGCTTGGAGTAGTATCTTTGGATACTTGAAGCTGCTTGGTTTTTGGTTCGGCTCGCTGCTGATCGTGTGGCACACATTTGTTCTGTTGTTATTATGTATTGTCTTCCTCCGCAGGACTCCTCATGGATATCTTGCGAAACCGAGGGAAAAGAGGCTACGAAGCATTCCTAGAATCCCTGGAGTTCTATTACCCTGAGCATTTCACCCAGCTGACGGGGAAGCAGCCAGTTCAGCGTTGCTCAATGATCCTGGGTAAGAAGTTGTGGAAGTCTCCTCCTTTGCACAGGAGGCCGACAGCTTGCTTAAGTTAAGCAGGTCAGGGTCGGGTCAGTGCCTGGGAATCACATGCAGGGTGAATGGGCATGTGGTGGCCAACCTGGTGCTTCCGCTGCCTTTGCCGCCACCTCTCCCTGCCCCATCCCATTCTTGACAAGCAGCAGTGGTGCCACATCTGGGAAGGCAGGGCAGGAGCAGCACCCCAACTCCCACCCAGAAATGTGTGTTTGTGTACTTGCAGTGGGGTGCTTCAGTTGGACTGCATCTTCCTGGCACATGCCCAGTGTATGTTTATAAAGAAACATCTCCACATGTGGCATTGTCTGCTGCTGCAAATGCCAGCCAATGTGTGGTGAACATGTTCGTCCTGTTAATGTGTGATTTGACTGCCCTTGGTTAGAAACATAGCAAGCTGCTGTACACCGAGCTGGACGCGTTGCTCCATTTTGGCCTGGTACATAATTCAAAGTGTTGGTGCTGACCTTTAAAGCCTTAAATGGCCTCGGCCTAGTATAGCTGAAGGAGTGTCTCCACCCCAATAGTTCAGCCTGGACACTGAGGTCCAGCTCCAAGGGCCTTCTGGCTGTTTTCCCTCCCTGCGAGAAGTGAGGTTTGCAGGGAACCAGGCAGAGGGCCTTCTCGGTGTGGCGCCCTCCCATCAGATGTCAAGGAATAAACAACTATCTGACATTTAGAAGACATCTGAAGGCAGCCCTGTTTAGGGAAGTTTTTAATGTGGCTGATCAGGTGTGGCTGATTAGCCTCTCTCTGGGCAAAGGTCAGAGGGGGCAGGGCTTCTTGTTGAGGGTAGGTGATTAGCTGTGGGAGGAGCTTATCAAGAGGCTTATAGGGCAGCAGCTTGAAGAA